CTGCTTCTCCCTCTGACCCTCCCCCGTCTCATGTACTCCCTCTCTCTCTCAAATAAATAAATAAAATCTTTAAAAAAAATAAAACAAGAACAACAGGGCACTGGAGACAGAATACGGGGGTTTCAGTCATGGTTGTGCCTTTTCCTAATTGTGTAACCCGGGCAAAAAGTTTCACTCCCATAAACCTCTCTTTTCTCATCTATAAAATGGTCACTACAGAGTTGTGAGAAAGATTACGTGGCTCGGGGCATGTTGAATGCCCAAGACAACAGATGCTCAGAACACAGTATTTCTAATTCTCTTCTAGTAAAGCCTCATTATCCACCCTCTGCAGGACAGCAGGGTGATCGTCAGCAGGGGCTCTGAGACTACACCACCTGAGTTGACTCCTGGCTCCACCATCTCACCAGCTGTGTGACCGAGGGCACTTGACTTAAACTCTCCACGCCTCAGTTTTGTCATCTGTGAAATGGGCACCATAAAAGCGCTTTCCTCATAGGGTGGTATTGAGAATTAAATGGGTTTATTTATGTAAGATGCTTAGAGTGGTGCTTGGCACACAGGAAATAACTATATAAGTGTCAGCTAGGATTATATTAAGACACTCATTGTTTATTGCATTGCCAATCTCAGAATTATTATTATATTTGTAACTACAGCTGTGATCAATGATATGTGGATGGGTGTCATTTTCTGACTTGAATGCCAGGGGCGGTAGTGAAGAGGGTGGGGAAGCAGAGGCGGCCCCACATCCCCCTCACTGTCAGCTGTGAATGCTTTGGAAATAGCCAGCTTTTTTTTTTTTGCAGATTCTAGCTCTGAGCATAGGGAGAAAGGAGCATTACACTCCCCCATGGGTGCGATTTCACCCTCACTAAGCCATTGCTTTAATGAACACCAATATTTTTTCGTTCCACTGTAAATGGTGTTCATAGTGAAACCGTATTTTAACAACATTAAAAGAATTTTTTTAAATGAAAAATGAATTAACTCTAAACATGCCACCTGACACAAAAACTGTTTCATTGTTTCTCTTTCCCTCTAGTTGTTGTTTATGTGCATGTGCTGGATAAGTTTAGCCAGTTGCCATCACTGTGTGTGTTCTCTGTTTACTGTGATCAATAACCCTTTCCCCTGACTTTATAATTATTATTATTATTGATGGCTGCACAGTCAGGTTGATAGGCCGTAATTGCTCCTTTTTTGAAAATCACAATGTCCACATTTTACATGCTGTAGGAGAACTCGACATGTGAATGATAGTAAAGGAGAGCAATGATAAAAGGAAAGGCAATCAAAGACCTAAACCTGCTGTGGCAGGGGAGAAGAGAAGGGAGGGAGTATTGGATGGCCTAAGAGCTGTGAAATCCTGTAATTTGATTTTGCAAAAAGACTTCTACCCCCAGTGTTTTATTTAACAGACCTATTTTTACATGTAAGAGAATTAAAAAGAAGTTGCATGTGATGGGTACGTGGAGGTTCATTATACTGTTGTCTACTTCTGTGTCTGCTTGAAGCTTTCTGTAATTAAAAAGGTTGGAAAAAAAAGGATGTGCCTATAAACGATTCTCCTACACCCTTGGAAATAGTTTGACGTGTCTCTCGGTGAGCAAACACTAGCCCACGTGGCTCCTTGGTGAGAATTTTCAAAGTCCCTTTTCCTCAAGGGTCCCCCTCTTCCAGGAAATCATAGAGGTGTGTACGTGTGCACTGTCTGCAGTGAGCTGCTTCCTTGGGTGCGGCACCCTGTGCTAGGCACGGGTTCCCGCCATCGGCAGAGGCCTGGCTTGGGTACCACTAAACCACTGTTAAGAACAACTTCTTTAAGAAGCTGAGGCAGGGAGTGGAGGCGAGGGGTGGAGGCCGTAGCTGCTTGGGCATCCGTGGCCAGTACCGGGAAAGGGGTGACCAGCCATAAATGATGGTACACCGGGCCCTGCCCTCCCCAGCCCACCTTGGGCTGAGACCATCGGTCCTGCAGACACAACACACCTGGCCTGGACATTGCAGACATTTGAGGATGAGGAGGCCTGCATCATAACCATGAGTGGACAGTCAAGGAAAACCAGGCCTGTGAGGAAAAACAGCAATGTGCAATGAATAATAATTACCAGAATCATAATCATTATTGCTAACGTTCATTGAATGCTGACTATGTGCCAGAAGGTGTTTTCATGATTTTGTGTATGTTATTTTTTTCTTTTTCTTTTTTTTTCTTTTTAGACTTTATTTATTTATTTCAGAGAGAGAGAGAGAGAGAGCACGCAAACATGAGCAGGGGGACAGGTAGAGGGAGAAGCAAGCTTCCCACTGAGCAAGGAGCTCAATGCGGGGCTCGATCCCAGGACCCCGGGATCATGACCTGAGCTGAAGTCCTGACTTCTATCCCTCTTACAGGACAACAGTTTCATTTTCTGAAATTACTTTCCAGTTTTTGTCCATGGCCAACTTGCTTTTTTATTTTATTTTTATTTATTTATTTAATTTTTAAAAAGATTTATTTATTTTTTGAGAGAGGGAGCATGCACATGTGAGCGTGCAAGTCGGGGGGTGGTTGCTGAGGCAGAGGGAGAGAGGATCTCAAGCAAATTCCCCACTGAGTACGGAGCCCCACGCAGGGCTCAATCTCATGACCCTGAGACCATGACCTGAGCCAAAACCAAGAGTCGGTCGCTTAACTGACTGAGCCACCCAGGCACCCCCCCAACTTGTTTTTTATTTTTTTTTTTAAAGATTTTTTTTTTTTAATTTATTTGAGAGAGAGAGAATGAGAGACAGAGAG